AAAACATTTTTGTTCATCACCTCTTTCCTGCAACTATCAGGGTCAGTTCTCTGAGTCGGCCAAGGCTCATGGTTAATAAGGTGAAATAGTAGAACAAACTTGAATGCAAAACCGCTATACTTCTCCCAGAAGTTTAGGAGTGGTAATTTTTAAAAAATTAAAGAAGGGGCAGATTTTAAATAGAAGAGACTTCCAAAAGTAAGTATCTTTTTGCTGAAACTTCTACACTACTGCATAAAATTAAAATCTGTAAGAAACCGCTTATTGGTCATAATGTCAGCTTTTGAACGAGCTATAGTATTTTAAATATTGTTCAGTAGAATGGCAGAAAAGTTATTTTTTTGTGAACCCACCTCACCACCAAACGGGTTTAAAATTCCATGTTGGTACATCGGCGCAGCAACTACTCGGTGTCAAAGTGCAATCACGATTTTGTAACATCAGACAGCCACAATTCTTAGCTAAAGGTTCCTTTTTTATAAGATCACCGAAGATGCACCACAATGTGGACATCAGCGTGGTCTTAGTTGCATTTCAGCTACTTTTTGTGAAATTGCTTCACAAGCTAGGGGGCTTTCTTATCGGATCATTGAGTTACCCAGAAATCTCATTCATCCATAAGGAGTTGTATGCTGAGGGGATTAATAAGCTTGTCCAACGTTACATTTTATCTCATGTCTTGTTTAAATTTCGGACGGACTGGTAGCGTGAAATTTTGGACCCATGTGGTCCGGAGGTGAGTTCACAACACGACTTTTTTGACATTCTGCTGAACCGAATTTTAAAGGAAAAATGAAACCTTGCAAGAAAGGGGACATCATGACCAATGAACAGTTTTTTTTAAGACCTTTATTTCTTGCAGTAGTAAAGAAGTTACGGCAAAAAGATACTTTTATTTGGAACGACCCTCGTACATAAGTAAAGTTGCAATGGTTACAGTTGAGAAAAAATTACAAGTGGAATAGGATGTGCACTTCATATTCCTATTTTCATATGTTGGAATGTAGTAGGTCCAATTCATAGCAGTTCAAAAAACAAATTTCAGTTAAAGAGGCTGGCAATTTGTCAACGATTATGATGTACTTGAGGGGAGGTAAGGAAAGACTCAATACATCTAGACTATCCATAGCACAAAGGCTGCCATAACTTGGCTTAGAACCTCATTTTCTCTCCCTCTCTTGATATTTTCTGAGAACCAGACAATGATACATGTTTGAGGGGTATCTAAGAAAGACAGTTCAACGTCTACTTTTTTGATTGGTGGCATTTTCCTTCGTGAATTGTCACGATAAGCAATCATAGTTGGCGACAGGGGAAGAACTTTGATAATTCAGGTGCCCTCCTCATCGTCGCCGTTAGGGAATGATGCACGTCTGTTTTCTAAAAGGGAAGAGAGAATGTCTTCAATTTATTCTCTCGTAAGAGGAACTGTAGGATCAACATTCCTCTGTCAGAGAATTAACACTATTTAGCAGTTGCAAGGATGACATTTTAATTATAAAACTACAAGGAGTTTCGCCAGACCATTACTTCAAGAGGAAAATTGACGTGAAGTTTCTTTATGTGAGTTCAATGAAGCAGGACATTTTGGGGTGTAAGCTCCTCCATCTTGTGACATTTTTATCGAGGAACCTTTGAGCATTTTCAGAGGGGGTTAACTATTAGTCTCCTTCAGGTGCTTTCAGAGGATTAAGAAATCACTGTGTTCTTTAAGGAAACTGAAAATAGGGTTATATTTGACCTTCAAAATAAATATGCATAGGAGGTAAAAAAATAAATGATGCAGTAGATTTGCAGCTGATAATTAAGTTCAATTGTTTGCACAGTCTCTCAAGTCATTGTTATTGGACTGTGTCCAATTGATCTTGTCCATTGTCCTTTGGAAGGAAAAATAACAAGAAAAATTGTAATTTTAAGCAGGCGTTAGTTCCAGAATGAGGTTTGGCAATTGAGACGAAGAATTTTTACTTCCAACAAATCTGTTATCTAAGTTTTCGAACTTGTTATCAAAATTGATCAGTATTTTGGGAATCTCGCCCCTTTTTGTTTTTCATCTAATCAAATTTTATCTGAGAAAAGTTGTTCAAAGTAGCGAAAATCAAAGTTTTTCTCAAAGTTGGTCCAGGAAGAACTGAGTGTGTTTCGGCAATCCTTTTTCATGAGTGTACACTCCCTACCAAATGAGGTTATGTTGTTAAACAGGATTACTGTTTTTAGGGGTTACTGTAATTCTTTTAGTAAAGGTTCCTTCTTTTAATTATACTATTGAAAATTCGTGTTGCAGGAGAAATAACAATCAGTTCCGAAGAGGAGCCGCCATCCGCAGACACATCAAGAACTGGTAAGTGAAAGTATTTACAACATCAGAACTTGGCAACCATAAAAATACAGATTTTATCACTATTTTATCAGATGAATAAAGGAAAGAAGGGCACAGTAATTAATTTCAACGTGTATTTGTTCAGATCCAAATTGTTGATGGGTTGCAGAAACACAGAATTTTCAGAGGACAGTAGACCCAATTGCAAGTCTCTGATAGCGTATCTTCTAGATGAACCAAGCTCACATTGGTTGTATCAAAAAGAGAAAAAAGTCGTCACAAGAAGGAATGTAATTTTCTATGTGTATTTTTAGGGCTGATCTCGAAAATTACGCTGGGTTTTCCGGATCCTCATGGTATGCTTGGAAAAATCAAATTTTGCATGTACTCCAAAAAAAATCGCAGTTTACCACAGGAAATTCAGTTGTTTGGGAACTGAGTAAATAATAGAGGACAGGGGAAAGGAAAGAAGAGCCAATTATCGCATCAACCTGAGTGGATCAGTTATTATTTTTACCATCTAAATTTATGTTGAATTGTGTGATTCTCGGATGTGACATATGTGTCTTCTTTTCTTTCCCCAATTGGAAGTAGGTGATTGTCAAATGCACCTTTTCAAAATCATTGCGAAAAGCCCACCTAGAATCAGTGACAAATTTTAGGCGATCTGAAGTGTCTGTCGACCAGTAGCCTGATTATTGATGCTCATGTCAGCACAAAAAGACTTAAAAAATCGATCAGTTAAAAGATTATCATGTGTTGGCCTGCTGACAAAGCCTGATGAAGCTTTAACAATCAGGCTGTAGTGTCTCATGGTTGCTTGAATGAATTCAGGGGAGAATTACATTTTTGCCGGTAAATGAAGAGCAAAAAGGAGACTTGGATATCAGAAGTGACAACAAAGAGCCGTATGCAAAAACGACATTTTTCGCCCCCCCACTAAAACTTATTCAAACTTCGTCTATCAGTTACTAATACTGGAGCGCTTCTTTCCCCAAATTTTCAGACCCCCAAAAAATTTTGGGGGGGCGCTAGGGGGGGTGGAAGTCAAAACCTGCGACCCTCGATATCTTTCGAACGAAACAAGATATCGAGGCCCGGTTTGGACGAAAAATCGTCTAAAATTGCATACTTTAAGATTCTA